TCTAGATATAAATTAAGACTGATCTAATAATAATCTGATCTCACTTAATATAACATATTATTTGATTTATATATTTTTTTTATACATTTATATCTTATTTTCTTATTATTCAACGTAAAATTTTCCTTTCAAAATATAATACACAATGAGGTTACTAATGATATTTCAATTTATTCTAGGTCTTAAATTAAATATGATAAGAATTCGATTCGATTTGAATTCAATGCTAATTAGATATTGATCAACAAGTTAGATCTATTGATCCGTTAATTTGTTTATAAATGGATCCGGATATGGATCAAGGTTGATCTTATCCGAATCCAACCCGTTTACAGTTTACTTTAGGGACGTCTACATTGGTAACAACATCGTCAAATCATGTCCCAATTTCGTGGGAGTAGGTCTTAATTTCAAATTTCATACAAGATGCTTGTTAAATAAAAAAAAAATGTTGCCAGGATGTGCCTAGCGACATGTGAGAGGCTAGAAGAGTGATTGTATAACGTAGTGTGTCAATCAATATTTCACATTTCAATATGCATAGTGTGATCTTGAATTCAAATCTCATTTACAAACTTTGTTGAATACAAGAAAATATTATTGTAAAAATTTGCAGTGCGAGATGTGATAGGATGAACGATTGGTTGTGCATTGCATGTCGACCAACATCTCACATCTCACATTGTGCAATTGCAAGAATCATGCACCCGAGAAAATGATAAGAACATCATAAAACCTAAGTTGGAAGTTTTCTTGTTCACTAAAAAAAGTATAAGCTTTTGTAAGCACGTTGGGAAAATGCCTTACTTTGGAGCCAAGGGGAAGAAATGTATCTTCTAGTAATGATAATTCCTCCCAAATATTTCGTGTGGAATTAAGAATTGTGGACTACGGACCTGAAATTCTTCATCAATCACTGAGTCGCCCTATGATATTGATATTTTGTCTGTTTTCAAAATAACCAAAACAACATCAATAATAATAATAATAATATTAAATAAATAAATTATTTAATTAATTATACAATTAAGGCAGGCCAGGAGAACCCAAAGTCCGGCCCATATCGTATTGTCATGAGTCCACGAACTTTGTCATCTGACAGAGTCTCCCTGTTTCATGCGCCAAGCCGGCAAAATCCCTTGACCAGGTAACAGCAGAATTACGAACATCCAGAATAAAAAAAGACACAAGCTTTCCCCTCTGATAATATTGCCAACAATTTATTTCAATGAATCGGAGGATATTGAGTCCGAATCCGATCCTGGGTGAGTGAAGGATGTCCCAAGCTCAAGTTTCCTACAGGTAAATTTCCCAAATTCCATTTTTGTTCTCAATCTGAATCAAATGCCATTTAATTTCTTCATCGAATTCAATTCCTTAGACAATGTTTCATGTTAAATTGTTAATCTTCTCACTGAAATAACCCTTTTTTCATTAATTTTTTTAGTGCTTGAAATCATCTGTTTTGATTGTTGAAGATTGAATGTTTGACCTTCATCACTCTAGTAACCTCATTGGGTCAATTGGGGTTTTCCTAAAACTTAATTCTAATCTTCAGAAATTGCATTTGAAGTTTAAGTGCACCTTGTTAGTACAAATTGATGATTGCCCAAATGTGCATGTTGTGCTAATCCTTAATTAGTTTTCTGGGTTCCTGAAACTGAAATGTACAATGCTTGATTGTTATGCTGAAATTGGTTGGTTTTATTTTTTGAATCTGTTACAGTTGTGGTTCTTGTGCATACCCTTTGAACTTGTCGTCTTCGAATCGATTGACCTCTGAGTCTGGCATAGGCTCTAACTATCAAAAGTCCATCAAGAAAGGTTTTATTTCATTCCTTACAGTTGATCTTAGTCGGTTCACTCAGGTTGATGAGGTAAACTGTTTTCCAGTTTCTTGGGGTCGTTACCGTTCAAAGACTAAACTCTTATGCCGTAAATGTGGGGTTCATATCGGTTATGGATATGGAGAGTCTTCTGTTCTTTGTGGTTTTGACTCTCCCAACTCATCATCTACTTCATCTTGTAGAAAGTTCAATATAAAAATACGAGCTCTACAACCTTCGGAAGAGTGCTAACATGAAACCTACTACTTATTCTCTTACCACCATCATGGACTTGCCTGATGATTGCCTCGTCTTTATTTTCCAATGCCTTGATTCTGGCTCTGACCGCGAGTCCTTTGGCTTGACTTGTCATCGATGTCTTCGCATTCAAAATCTTAGTCGTCGATCCTTACAATTTGAATGTTCATTCAAACAACTTGACATTTCTTCATTATCACATTCAAAGACCAATGTTACCATTAGAACCTTCCATCTTCACCGGCTTCTTACCCGTTTTCAACATTTACACTCATTGTCCCTCTCTGGGTGCACAGAGCTACCTGATTCAGGCTTGTCCCACTTGGTAAATTATGGTTCACATTTGCACACCCTTAACCTGGAGTGTTGTTTAGGTATTACCGATCGTGGGTTGTCTATGGTAGCTGCTGGTTGCCCCTCGTTGCAAGTTATCAGCCTTTACCGTTGCCAAATTACTGATTTGGGGTTAGAAAAGTTGGCTAGCTCTTGCTCAGTTCTAAAGGATGTGAATCTCTTGTACTGCTATTTTATTTCTGATCGTGGGCTAAGAGCTATTTCACAAGGCTGTCATCAACTTCAAGCGGTTAAGATATCACATTGTAAGGGCATAACTGGTGTTGGCTTTAATGGTTGCTCATCAACTTTAGCTTATGTAGAAGCCGAATCATGTAAGCTTGAGCCAGACGGTATTTTGGGCATTGTAAGTGGGGGCGGGATTGAATATTTGAATTTATCTGGTTTAATCTTGCAAAATGGCAGAAACGGTTTGGCAGCGATTGGGAGAGGATTTGCCTCCCGTCTTAAAATTCTTAACCTTCGGCTTTGTAGAACTATTGGCGATGAGTCGATTGTAGCAGTTGCAGAATGTTGTCCACTACTTCAAGAATGGAACTTGGCATTGTGTCATGAGGTCAAAATAGTGGGATGGTCATCTATCGGGATGAATTGTCACAAGTTGGAGAAGCTTCACGTCAACCGGTGTCGGAATTTATGTGATCGGGGTTTAGAGGCTTTGCGAAATGGATGCAAACAACTATCCGTTTTGTACATGAACGGTTGTCCTAAGATTACTTCAACAGCAATAGAGTTGTTCAAATGTTACAGGAGTGATGTTACCATTAAGAATGAAGAGAAAATGTGTATAGGTCCCATCTGGGAATTGAGATGATAGTGGATGAGAAAACAATTTGACTTATTTGATATGAAATTGTCTATTATTTTCTGAATATTCAACTTGCTTCGTGCAAGAAATGTGAATTTCCAATTGATAATTTGTGAAATTAATTTTGTGATGAATTTTCATATGGATTAGTTTTAGATTAATTATTGTGCTTGCACTTGCCGAAAGTGACTGAATCACATATCAATCAATTATTGTGCTTGCGATGTCAACGTGCTGTCTCTTTGCACCTAATTTTGAACTTCCTTTTCATATATTTAGATCAGAATTGTTTTAGAATATGACTTCATCAAACAAAAAAAAGGATAATATTGACAGAAAAATAAGTCACATAAAATGTAAATATTCTTAATTCAGATAAATCTAAACTTATTATCAGCAAAAAAAACAAAAAAAAACATAAAACATAAAAAAGTTTATTTTCTCAATAGCATCTGTGTCAACTTCTGCGTATCATGATGTTGCTCAAAACCCTACTGAAGTTTTTATTGGGAATCTGTGTGTGGACTTGGAGGACTTCTATGGCATAGTAATACCGCTCCTAGGGCATTCCGTGCAATGATACTACGCCATGTGGAGAAAAAACATTTGTTTGCTTCGATTCAGATCAATCTTTTCATATCAATTTTTTGAGATATTGTTTGAGAAAACAAGTCTTTTCAGATGATCGACCTCATTTCTGATGTGATAATTCAAGGCTGTCATTAAACAACAAAATTAAGAATATATATTAGTCAGAGATCATAGTTCATGATAACTTAGTTGTCAACTAAATGCAAGGTTCCTCTTGAAGAAACGCTTTTTAATAGTAAGCGGTTAAGAGCATTCACTCCTACCGTCGAGGTTCTGCGTTTGATTCACCCGTCGTTAGTTATACCACTTGTGTGTGTGTGTGTGTTTTATGTTGTCTGCATTTTAATGGAACAAATTTAAAGTTAAAATGGTCATTGAAATTTGCACAACTCTTCACTTTGATCCCAAAGATTTGAAATCAATACAAGTGGTCCATGAGATTGTCCACCATCAATCATTTTGGTCATTCCGTTAATAGTTGTGTTAAATAAAGATTAAAATGACAAAACTACCCTCAGTTTAATAAATAATAGGCCAAAATTATTTGACAAAAATTGAAGGTATTTTTGTCATTTTATCCTTATTTAATAGAGATTTTTCACGAAATGACCAAAATGATTGATGATAGACAATCTTAGGAACCAATTCTATCGATTTCAAATCTCAGTGATCAAAATGAGAAATACAAACCTTAGAGACTATTTTGGATAAAGAGTAAATTGTACAAATGGTCCCTCAACTTTAATCAAATTAGAGCAATGGTCCCTCAACTAAAAATCCATTACCTTTGGTCCCTCAACTTATCAAAACGTGCAGCTATGGTCCCTCAACTAAAAATCCATTACCATTGGTCCCTGAACTTTAATTCAAGTGGAGAAATGGTCCTTTAACTTTAACCCAATTGTAGCAATGGTCCTTCCAATATAACTCGTTTTGACAAATTTTTTGACATAATTGACGAAAAGAACCATAATTATACATTTTGATGAGTTAAGGGACCCTAATTATATAAATGGTCATTCCAACATAGCTTGTTTTGACAAAATTTTGACAAAATTGATGAAAATGACTATAGCTACACATTTTGATAAGTTGAGGGACCATTGCTCCAATTTGATTAAAGTTGAGGGACAATTTGTACAATTTACTCTTGGATAAAAAGCCTAGAAGAAAACTAGGGAAAAGTCCTTACTGTCTTGCAATTGAATATCTTCCAAAATATTGTGTAGACATCCTTTCAATCTATTGTTGTCTACAGTTATGCAACGGGTGTCTTCCTGCTCAAGAAAGAAAAAGATAACAGAAAATTTGTCGCCGTACATAATTCCAATGGGGCATATAGATCGGGCCGTTAGCGTTCACTCCTACACCCCTGTCTTGCATTTGATTCCCGATCTGCTAATATCACCGGTATAAAAATGCAAGGAATATTTAAGGGTGCTAAATCATGTTGATTTACCTTCCATAGTTCCAACTGAGCAATCAGAGCAGCTGCTTCAAACTGCAACTTTTGTATGTTGCATTCAAGCGTCTGAACGTACACCTTCTTCCTTTGCTTTGACTTCATAGCCGACCTCCGGTTAGTAATAATCCTACAGATTTTAAAAATTAACGTAAGCATGTCACCGACGTTGATTTAGAACAATTTCTAGCATTACGAGTAACAAAAAACGTTGATTTAGAACAATTTCTAGCATTACTAGTAACAAAAATCCTCGAAAATATACCTTTTCGCAAGCTTTGGATCCCGTTGGGCGACTTCTTCAATAACTGCAGCCGTCCTTTTTTTGGTGCTGGGGATTGAGATGACATGGTCATCTTTGGAGAAAGTTGAACTTGAACCATACATTGTGCTAATGGTACCACTTCTCAAGCAATGAGAGAATTTGTAGCTTGCACAAGATGCAATGGAATTCCTCAACTAGTAAAGTTGTAGTGACAGCCATTATATATACTCTCATGGGATTGGGGGTAGGGTAAAATTATGGGATTTATTTCCATAAATAGGATGATAAAAATTGCAGACACATTGAATAATGGCTAGGAATTGGATTTCTGTGTGTTTATGTTAATGTTTTGTAATCCAGGACCTGGGGCTTATGGATTTGAGTGCTTAGTAAACAAGGAAATATGTTCATACTCGTTTCCGAGCTTCTAAACCGCGATCTAAACAGACCCTAATGGAAGAAATTAGGACAGTGTACTATACCGAAATTAACATTTCCGAATAATCCTAGATGTCCTATGTTCGATTCATTCATCCAATATCGCCTGTATAGAAATATAAAAACCGATTAATAGCATGTCCTCTTCCATCGGATGTCCTACGTTCCATTCATTCCTCTAACACCACTTGTATAGAAACATAAAAACCAATTAACACCATTTCCTCATGCAGCCGATGCCCTATATTTGATTCATTCCCCAATATTACTTGTGTACAATATAAAATCGATTAATACCATTTCCTCATGCAGCCGATGTTCTACATTTGATTCATTCCCCCATTATCGCTTGTATAGAAATATAAAAACCGATTAAAGCATTTTCTCTTGCACTCATTGCTCTACATTTGATTCATTTCCCCCAATATTACTTGTATAGAAACATAAAAACCGTTTAATAGCATTTTCTCTTGCACTCGTTGTGCTACATTTGATTTATTTCCCATAATATCGCTTGTATAGAACATAAAAACTGATTAAAAGCATTTCCTCTTGCACCCAATGTCCTATGTTTCATTCATTCCCCCAATATCGCTAGACTCGCTACTTGTTTAGAAATATGGAAAACCGATTAATAGCATTTCCTCTTCCACTTGTTGTCCTACATTTGATTCATTTCCCAAGTATCGCTTGTAAAGAAACATAAAATCCGATTAATCACATTTTCTCTGCACCCGATGTCCTATGTTTGATTCATTCCTTGTGAAATCCCATCCCCAAATTTTACTATTTAAAATTACGTATTTTGTTGTTTGGATTAAAACTTGAACTTTGGGCTCAAAGGAGGAGCTGGCCCAAAGGGAGGCCTAGAAGGAGAGCCAGCCAAAGCCTAGCCGAAGCCCAGAAAGCAGAAAAGGCCCTTTCCGACTAGGTGCAGGCCATGTGAACCACTTGCTCACCTACTTTGAAACCAAGTGGTATAGACCAGCCAGCTCATCAGCCCAAAAGCACTTTACAGTGGCAGTACAAGTAAATAGCTTATGAGTCACAACCCTTCAAGATGCATTCGGGCAGGATTACTGCTACAGGAGGCCAAGCCAAAGTGTCTATAAAAGAAGAAAGAGAAATCAGAAAAGGGACACTCAATCAAACAAACAAATACAAGCACAAACTCTGCTCAAAACCAAATTTGCCTTCAAACGAATCTGTAGTTAGCCCAAGCCTTCATCCTTTTCGGGATAAACCCTCACCAAAAGCCTTTGTAATAGCTCTGCTACCTTGTCTTAAGCTTGTTGTAGTATCGATTTCTCTCTGCAAACTCATCTCCCTACCCATTTTCTAAAGCTCTCAAAACCCTTGATAAATCACACAGATAGGAAGTTGCAAGACGATCAGCCTTACCCGACCCTCTTTGTTTTTGTCTTTTCATTCATTAGCCTAGAAATATGTTGTATACTTCCAGTTATATTCAAGTTATTTCTAGTAAGATGACTATTAAAAGACTCTCTCAGCTCTTGAATCCGATTTGAATATATCTTCACAGTTCAAACCAAATCTAAGTTCTAAGCCCTCGGGCATGTAAGATTGATCATTTAAAAGTCCTTGGCCTCAAGGCATAAAAAAGAACCTTATGTGGACTTAACCCATCCACGACAAGCTTTGATAAACAAGAAGTCCGAAGTTACTTGGGGCGCAAGTAATCGACCTATCTCTCAGTTTTATTTCTATTATATTATGATTATCGTAGAACGTTTGAGTATATAAGGAATTATGATGGGAAGCCTTAAGGCCTATACCTAAGGCCCCACAAAGGCACCTATTTGGATTCATTCTGCTCTTCGGGCTCGGGCAATCAGAAGTATAATAGTCATAATACTTCTGCAATCAATAAAACAAGCATTATATGTTCGAGTATTGGGTTAGTTATTGACAGGAAGCCTCAAGGCCTACACCTAAGGCCCCACAAAGGCACCTGTCATGACTAACACGGTCCCTCGGGTATATATACAACTAAAACTAAACATCCGTTTTACATCTGCCATGCTGAAGATGGCAGTGGCACGCCTGAGCACTTAAAAGTTAATCTTGATTGTGAGCCTCAAGGCCTACACCTAAGGCCCCACGAAGGCACCTTTCAAAGTTAACTATGTCCTTCTCTTTCAGCTTTGCCCAACAAGCCTTGCCCGATAAGCCCGCAAGTGAAGCAAAAGCCCGACAGAAAGCATCAACCGGCGTCAACCTCTCGGGGAGCTGTGTGCTCGTCGGCTAGGAAACATCCCCAGCGGAAATTCTAGCCACGAACATTTGTATTTCGTATTCTTATTCGTTGTTTCGACGCGTTTGTATTTGCGGCATATAATTTTTTTCAATAAGTAAAATGATGAAAACGCCCATAATGAATTAAATGGATTTTAGTACATATTTCAATAGTACTCGTTGATATGAACGCGTGGGCGCAAACGGAATGTAATTTGGAGTTATAACGAAGAAGTTATAAACGAGCAAAGATAAGGGCGAAACGGTTATTTGAGTATTATCTAGAAGGCTCCAGATTTGCTGGAGCAATTATCTGTGGTGCCACATGTGTGGCTATGTTGGAAAGGAAAGGAAAGAAAAGGAGGGGTACGGACCAATGAGAAAAGGGGGAAATGAGGGAAATGAGGGGGGGAACGGACGAAACAGGAGAGGGGAAATGAGAGAAAGGAGAGATGGGGAAAACCAGGTGACCAGAGAAGATATCTGGCAGTTTTTCGTCATTTTTCCGATGATTTTCACCGAGCCACCACCTGGAAACTTCACATCAGCCTTCCCTTTCCATTTTCCACCCAAGTTTGATGGGGGTTTTGGCCCCGTATCTCGGAGAATGACAGGTGGGGGTTCGAGAGAGCCACGAACGACGATCCGCCGATCCTGCAGCCTTCACCAACAATTACCACCAGCTGTTGACACCTCTTGAACCCATGAGCAAGGCCCAAACACTAGTAAGAGCATTGGAGCATCAGTGGAGACAAATCGACAACCACCAAAATCTAGGGTTTGAGGTGATCCATGACTGATTTCAGGTGTTTCCTGACCGAATTGGACTTCGGCCCAGGTATGAAAATTGTTCCTCTCATTGAGCTCTATTTTCCTTTAAAATTTGGTGATTTTTAGAGTTAGTTAGAAAGTTGAGTTTCCGTTCGTCGGAAACCGCCACCCGCGGCGGTGAGTGGCCAGTGGGTCGATGATGATATTGTAAGTTACATTAGATGTCCTGATTTCATATTCAATATCCACTTGATGTGATTTGATTGTTTGAACCTATTTTCATAATAGTACGCCACTTGAATATTACATGAATCGACGATCCGACTGTTGGATCGTCACCAAACTTTAACACGTTATAGTACGTAATTTTTTTAGGACCATAGAAACTTACGGATTGGAAATCCGACGTACGGATCTTCCCGAATTGAAATTCTAAGTTTGTAAAACCAAACGTTGACGGCCACTTGAATTTGTGATTGGTGAAGATCCGACAGTAAGATCGCAATGAAATTTTAGTATATCGTTCTATAAGCATAATGAGGACCTTAGGAAGTTACGGATCAGAAATCCGATGGGTGGATGTTCCCGATCGAATTACGTAGGGTTGTGGACCCCACTGTTGATTAAGAGTTGACTTTTGGTCAACATGTATCGAATTGTTTTAAATACTAAAATTAGTATTACTAGAGACTTAGTGAGGCTTTGCGGGCTTATCTCGATGAGGGACTTCGATATAGGTGATATAGTTGTTATCCTGGTTTTGTATTTAATATCCTTTGTGAATATCACTTGATTTTATAAATGTGATTTATATTGAAATGTGATTCGAGTTGTGGATAAAAAATATTTGTGAAATGTGATTTGACGTGCATATTTGAAATGTGGTTTGATTTGCATGATTGGTATAATGTGATGAAATGTGAGGGCTAGTAGTGGACCGTTAACCCATTGCATGGGGTTTGTTGCTTCGAAGCTTGTTTCATATCCCATTTCATTGTTTCATTTCTCACTTCGTTGACCCGTTCTAAATTTAGTACTTGTGCTTTGATTCATTTCGTTGAGCCTTTGTAAATTGAGTAACTTGATTCATGTCTTGTTTCTTCGAGTCGTTGATATGTTCCTTGGACTTCCGCTCGGTTCCGTTGAGTGATCCGGAACTGGGTTCTGCTAGGGTTCCGTTGAGTGGTCTGGTTCCCTGCTCCGTCTGGATTCCGTTGAGTAGTCTGGAATCCCTCGTGCTTCGCGATTCCATTGAGTGGTCCGGAATCGTATCCTGCTTTGGATTTCACTTAGTGGTCCGATATTCATTGTACTCTGCGATTCCATTGAGTGGTCTAGAATCGTATCCACTCGGATTCTGTTGAGAGGTCTAGAATCCCTTCTACTCCGGTATTCCGTTGAGTGGTTCGGAATCGTATCCTGGTTTGGATTTCGTTCAGTGGTCCGGAATCTCGTTTGGTATTTTGGTTCCGTTGAGTGGTCCGAAATCCCATTCTTCAGAGATGTAGGATTCGGCCGAACTGTGTTGCTCTAGCCCTGCACTTGATGCATTTTAGTGTGATTAATTAATGTGATTATGGAATGGTGTTAGAAAGCATATGTGTGTGAATGGCATACATGTGTGCATGGCAACATGATAATTGTTGTTTGGCTTATGATTGATGTGTAGTGTGGTACTCTATGTTTTTTGCTAGAAGTGTTTTACGAAAAGTTTAGAGTTTAACAAATGGTGAACTACGAATGGTTTGGTCCCTTTTTAGGGTACGTAGGCAATCTAACGATGAGGTTAGATGTAGCCATAAAATATACGAAATTATTACACAATTCGAACCTTGAGTGGTGCTTTGTACATATCCTGGGAGCTGGGTATGTTAGATATACGGATATTGGTGATGTCACGTGTCGATTTTGGAGGTATGTCGGGACCGGGACGTGCCATTCCCCAATATGAAATATAAAAACCAATGAATAGCATTTCCTGTTGCACCTGGTAATGGCTTTTAAAGCAATATCTAGCTTGCTGAATCATTTACTTTTAAAATATATTGGGGACACCATATTTTCGTACAAAATGATGTGGCCCGGTGATTTGTTTGTTTTCAAACATGTTAGGAGTATGACAACAATGATCTGGATGTCTTGTAAATCAATGACTTAATCTTATCAGATGTTAATTGTATACATCATTCTTGTTTATCTCTTTAAATGTTAGTCGTATCTATCACTCTTATCACTTCGTATGATATCACAATATTGTACAAAATTGTAATCTCCCTAAATTGGTTGTTATTAATCATACTATAATGAAAAGGAAAAAATAACGATACCGGCAAGTATAGAATGAGTTGGTGTGCCCATTGTCAAGAAATATTTCATCGGAAAGAGGTGAAATCTTGCCGATGAAATTTCGACTGAAGGTCTTTTCCGCCGGAGTTTTCTTGGCGAATTTATCGACGAATACCTCTTTTTTAAAAACCCTTTTCCGAAATAATGTAAGATTTTTTTTTATTCTGTTTGCTGTGGTGTTCAAGTTTTTTCATCAAATATGTAAAACCAGATTAAGCTGACCTTCAAATTCATGGTCTGATAAATTAAAAGTTTCTAATTACAATACCTAATTGGTAATTAATTAAAAAAGAAGTGCTCCCCCACAAACACTCTTTATTTTCTAAGCCACAATCTTAACTCCAAAATAAAAGCAGTAACAAATAAGATAGAAATAACAACTCCATAGCCAGCACTCCATCCCTTCCCTTTTTCTCCCAAATGGATTCCATAGAAAACATTTGCTACTGCAAATATGATCAGAATCCTTCCCACTCCTTGATGGTACCAATTCCAGTACTTTCGAACCTTCGATTCCTTCTCCGGTCGAACCAAAAGAGCCATAACCTAAAACCGAACCGAACCAAATCAAAAGAGAGCAATGTTTATACAATAAACCACTTCTTCATATTTAATAATAAACCCTTCGCTTTTCGTATGTAATATTAACATTCTCGAAGTGACACTAATTATTTTACATCAGCATGATAACGTGGCACGGCCGGAGTACATATGTAATTAGGTTAAGGAAGAAAAGAAACAAAAGAATGGCGGGGATAAATTACCTGAAGACAACCAAGGACAAGAACGAAGATACCAAGAGATTTGTGGGCGGAGACATCAGCATTGAGCTTATTATTCAAGACAAATCCACATAGAACACCTATTATTCCGAATATAAACCCAAATGATTGAATGAAACTATGAAGATAAAACCAAAGTGGATCATATGGTTTTAAGTAACGAGCAATTATTACTCCAATTATCATCAAAATGCCCCATCCTAGCATGTTTAGTACTCCATGGCTCTTCCTCAATCTCGAGTATGGACTATCTGCGCTCGATTTACCTTGACCTGTTTCAAAATTACACAAAACAAAAGAAACGCTTATATTGCTAGATTGTGAATTTGAACTAAATATTCAAACAACAATCAACATGACCGATAATATGGATTCATAGTTTGACAACATAAACATCTTACGTTGCCGGACATACAGATTTAGGAAGGGCATGTTTCCCTTTTATATTACGATTAATTTGAAGTACAAGACAAAGCTAGGTAATAGATCAATTTATACGATATGCGGTACATGTTCACAAGGTTCCAAATAAAACAAGCAGCAGACAGGAAGTTGTTTTCAATGTTCCCATCAAAATTAAAGCTCATGTTAGGGTAATTAACCATCGGAATTTGCTCAACTCCTCTCCTCATGTCCCTTTACACCAACAAAAAATGAAAAGACCTCTAAAAGCATTCTCAATAATGAAAGTCTCTACAAGGATCTCAAAAGAGATTTTTGCTCTTTACACTGGGAGAAATTTTACATACGACCAACCATATGCTGATTCTTTCATAAAAAGTGGGGACACATGTAGAACCGACGATAACTTAATATAGAGGTCAAAATGTTGCGTGTGTGGTCATATGAGTCAGGTGGTCTAGTAGAACTCTAGAATTCTCCCTACTCTAGTGTCTCTAAATTTGTGTCTTCATAAGTTTTGTTGCTAGTTTAATTATACAATCCCCATTGACCTTACTCTTAACACTGATTAACTTAGGTCAATGTAAAGCTAACTCAAACGGTTAGTTGCATTCACTTTTACATTTGAGGTTCTGCATTTGATTTCCCTTTCTCTAATATCGCTAAAAATTTAAAAGTCAACCTTGTTTTGGTTTCAGTTGTACTCACCTGTGATATAGTTTATGGATGTGGACACCTTGTCACTGTGCTCAGTCAATCTGTAGTTTGGAGCCACAGGCAGCAACCCATCTGGCCCAACAGCGTATATGAGCCTTGATAGTGGCTGGTTGGTCTCCAATTGGAACCCTAGGTACGTTCTGTTGGACTGGGATGTAAATAAGGAAAAGTTGCTTCCAATTTGAAGGCTCCCCTTGTTGGGCTCCACAAGGTTAGGTGAGGTCCCACCCAAGTAATACTGCTTGATCTCTCCTCCTGTTGGGGACATCCACCCCACAATTGCACTGGACCCCACCATCTGGCCATTGCTTGAGAACCCAATTGCAATGTATGAATTTGCAGCTGGTGCTGAGAGGACAAAGGTCCATAGGTTTGATAAGGTCTGTGAGTACTGCAAAAATAAGAGAGATTTTCATACACCACCTTGATCATTGGAGGTGATTGAGATTAATATCATAATGTATAGAGCTTTTGGATGGGACGTTTGTGAAAAAACGGACAGGTTGAGAAAATCTCACTTAGACTTAACAAGGCGATCAAAGTTTCAATAAAATTAAGTACATGTAAAGAGTTTTTGGATGGGAAGTTCGTTTTTTTCTTAAAAACAGACAGACATATTGAGAAGATTTCAGTTGATCGAAGTTCAATAAAATGGCGCATAAGTGAGATTTTCTCGACATGCACAAATCTCGAGCGAAGGGAATCCTCGATTGTATCTATGTATGTATGAATGAATGATGGAAGAGATGCGGTTGACTTACTCTGAGGATGTAGTTGTGAGCATCCCAAACTGCAAAGCAATTGAGGGAAGCTGCATCAAAGGGCAGATTGACATTCTGCAGGTTAAGAGTTGAGCTGCAGGAATCTGTTTGTGAATTCACAGTGGCTGATAAGCCAAAGATGAAGACGATGAAGAAACCTATGAATGCCTTCATCTCTCTCTCTCTCTCTCTCACCTCTTTTTTCTGTTTCTCTCTCTAGTTCTAGGTGGGTGAAGAAAACAGGTAACGTAGAGGGGTGATCATACGAATATTTGAGTAGATGTATATACCTGGAAGAAGTTGACAAATGATTGAACATTGTAAAGGGAGTTGATAAGAATAATATGAAGCTGTTGTAATCAACATGCCATACACTTTGGGCTCTCAGAACAATTATTTTTTTATGCAAAAAGAGTAACTTATATGAAATGTATGCATTAGGTGAGCCGCATGACCTAGCCTGTTCTCTCATTCACCAAAGACCAAACTACTGCTTTCCAAGCACGCACTTCAGATTTGTGACATATGGAAGAATATGGGTTGTTTCAAAGCTTATAGTAAGTATCAGATAAATAATGGTTTTCGCACTTCGGTTTTCTTCTTTTGGAGTCCTCCACTTGTTCTTGTTACTTGACCTTCTTTGATTTACCCTATCAAGGAAAACGATGTGGAAGGTCTAAAGGCATAACAGAGCTAAAAGCACTTCCAAATAATCGAAAACATTTGACACGAAAAGTTAGAAGTGCTTTCAGTAAACATTTTCTAGTGCCTTAGAGGTGTTTGTAGGAATCACTATAGCTTCTAAGAGGATCTCAAGTGTTTCAGCAAAAAACGCGTATCAACATAAGTGTTTTTTTCAAATGAACCCACTAGGATCAAAGAAGGTAAAATGAATTTCGTGTAACTTTAAATCGTCCAAAGGTCTGGTCAACCAGAGCTTTTGGTAGATGGGGTAGACCTGGACCTACAGGTTAGGGTTTGGACCAAGACAATACAGCCAATCTAAAAACCTTTTCTTGATCTGTTCTGGCATATCTTTTTCTAATAGAAAGAGCTCACTTTGTGAAATCAACTTTCTTGATTTGCTCTTTGCAATTATGTTACTGGGGCTACAGCCGGCAGCAGTGAAGTACAAAGCAAGACTATATGGGCGGCTGAACCGCCTCCACCTCCGTCGGAGAGAGGGAGAGAACTTATAAGTTGCATGCTAAGAATTTACCACTTTTTATTTTGGGTTCTGAATTTACATTGCATTATAGCATAATTCTGTAAGAGCAATGCTATGCAAAGCATTCCCAACTTTTGGGGTCTGAATTTACACCACCACTGTAGCATACAAGTGGACTGAGTTTCGTAGCTTTGCTCAAGAAATAAACTTAAATGAATTGATCAATTTACAACATGTCGACCTCTGCCAAGATCTTAGAACATCAGCATCAGGCACTTGAAATCTCAGCTTCACCACCGCCGAGCCCTGCGCACAGAGAAAAGGTGAATTATCTACAGCCCTATAACAATATTTAATAGCATATTATGCTAGAATAAATGTTGGATGACAAATTTATTCTAGAACTGTTGAATGATAATTTAAGGTTCAAAATTATGAATTCACGAATGTACGCCCCCAATGGCCTGGAGATGAACATGAGAACGACTATCATATGTTTAGGCTTTCGTTATATTGTATGTTAAGAATGTTTTTGTGAATGCCCTAAAGGACAGGCAACTGATAGAAGCATGATGATATGAAAGTTAAGAAAACCCAAAACCCCAGCAAGCACAAACATTTTAATCCCCAACGGGTGGTCCTCTCAAATCCAGATTACCAGCTTTGTTGCAAGTAAGAAAGCCATCTACACCACACTATCCGCAAATAAATAGTGAACATTTCAAACCAAATTTAAATCTGGAATTCGAAAGAAAAATGGCAGCCCTACGGTGTACAAATAAATCTACTTTCAGATAACTATGGGTCAAAGAAAGTTACCCAATGATGCATATGCTGGTATGCTGACAAAACTGGGACATGAGCTACTTGAAGCTAACTTGTCACTTAGACTGCCAGATCCAACCAGACAATCCCGAGGCTGCAGTAGCATAAAAAAATCAGAATACATGAGAAAATCTCTGCACATAATAAAAGACCATAACGAAAGTAGAGCATGGAATTCCTCATTAATGCCCATCTCAACATAATCTCATTGTCCAATATGTTACTAGTTTTCAACATTTTTAGGAAACGACCTAATTCAATTATCGAAACTCCAGTCACAAATGCCTGAAGTAAAATACGCCGGAAAGACCTCTCCCATCAAAACAACAGAAATTAACTCCTGACGTACAAGTGTATATTTTCTTTGATTCAGTTAAATATAGGATCCAAATGAACTCTAGATAGGAGGCAAACCTGGAAATCCTTGTAGAAGCATAGATGAAGTTCCTCCAAGGCCCCTTTTTTGCAAACCAACCTCGGGGTTGCCCGGAAAGCATTCTGAATAGCAGAAACAATGCCTCCAAGAGGATATTTTTCAGTATTGGATGGTACATATCCTGCTTCATTCAGGATTTGCTGAGGACAGGGAAAGGAAACTACCATTACATACCAAATACATTTACTCCAAATTAAACCAAGTTTCTATTAAGAACCAAAAGATAATGGGTATGAATGAAATAACAAATGATGGACAGCCAAGTGTGAATACATGGCAGTGATAGTGTTAATATACAAAATAGCTGTATCTCTAGAACTTACAGTGACATTGTACTTAAAATAGACATTGAGGGTTGTCAAAAAGTAATTGTATTCATCTCCAACTACTGGAGAGGAGCAAGTTCCGTGCTTCTCTGCAACAAACAATGAAAAAGGATGCAGGAATCAGAACTTGCACAAGTGATGCATGCCAAGAAAAAAAGGTCATTGCTCGTAGGTCTGAAATCAACCTAATGTCTAATAAGACTCATTGGGCAAAATTTCTAAAACAAAGGCTACAGACAAACAACTGACTGTTCATTATTAAGCAACAAAGAGTAAAAGGCAAAGATGCTAACCCCACTGCCATTGTAATACCACGCAATTCAGTCATCATGGAAACAAGAATGAAGAATAGTTAGCTCAAAGTAAGGGTCATCTAGAATTTGAGAAGAAATTAAGTCCACAATCAATGATCACCTCATGACCCCAAAATGATCCTTTTCCACCATGGCAGGATGATGGTTTACCACAGCTTAAAGATGGCCAGTATTTCTCTAAAGCATCGTGCAATGTTGAGATCTACACAGTAGATAAAGAGATAGTGGTGAGATTTACGGATAGATCTACACACTAGATAAAGAGATAGTGGTGAGATTTACGGACTGCCACTACAAGAGACATGCATCATATATTTGAAGATAAAGCGACATTAGTGTGGGTACTATATTCCAGTCAATCAGTATTCATTACATATTTCTCATGCGCTAAAAGAAAATCTTTCTTTTGCGGAGTTCCCGATTCCTTTATGTGAGCAAGTAGAGTCTCAAAAATATTCACAACCCACAAACCATGTAGACACGAAATAAGAAATACAAACCTCCTTATCATCAAAGGTTTTCCGTGTGCAACAGGCAGGCCAAGTTCCATCATTGTAGTCAGGCCACAATCCATCTGCCACATGTATAAATAAACCATCAAACAACAGTCAATGGATAAAATACGGGTTGGACGAATTTGATCGTAAATATTTGAGCTTTTTGAATTCCCAATTAAGGAAATTAGCTTCCAACAAAATGAACCAACATGCCCTAATCAAAATATTTGAACTTCAACTGAAAAGTCAACTTAACTCATGCTTTTCATCTCTGCATTACACAATATTATACAAAAGCTTAATACTTACGGATTGTAAACATGGTTGGAGCATTTGAGCTGAAACAAGAAAAACCCAAAAGTAGAAAATCAACTCAGAAAGCTCAACCTAATTTACCAAATTAAAATCAACCAAAACGAAAAAAAAAAATCAATCTTTTTGAAATTAATAGTTAAAATAAGGAAGAGATTATGAACCCGCGGCAGCAAGCATTGGAGGAGCAACAATGGCGGGTGCGCTGACAGAAAGTGCCAGGCCATTGCAGGGCCAAGTTGAAGTAATCGAACTCCCTCTGCCCTCCTCCTCCTCTGCTTCCGATTTCGAATCCGATTCCGGCTTGCTTGGCATCGATCAGGCACAGAGAAGCGCCCACCGCAATCAGTGCTACTGCAGAGGCGAATTGAGCAGAGAGAATAGCCATTTTTTGAAGAGAAGGGAGAGCTTGGTTTGATTTTCGGAGAGTCTGGTGTGATTTATAGGGGCGGGTAAGGGTAGATTCGTCATTTAGGTTACTTGGGCAGTTCTTTCTCCAATCATTATGTAACGGACGTTAACGGAAGTTGTTGTTTGTTTTATATTTCTTTTTTGCATTTGTTTTGGAGTTATTTTTGTAACGGAATAAAAGAAGATATTCTTTGTTATATTCTTGTGTTTCAAGTTTCATATGACGATAATTATGGACATATAATATAGAAACTTGAAGTTGTAGACTGATTTATAGTTTTATCTTCTTTTTATAGTATTCATGTTTTTGGAGATTGGAATGCAGGGTTAGGATTCGAGTTCAAAAAATGAAAATGACTATTTAGCTTGAACTTGAATCCTTGATCAACGATTTAAAACTTGAAGTTTGAGATTCAGTTAGCCTCTAAATTATATGCATGTTGATAAATTAGTCTCGTATTCCAATTTTACAAGGAAATTACAATTACAAAATGTTATAATCGTAGTTATCAACACAAACAATACAACTACAAAATGTTATTAATTATGGAAATTATTGTCACTTAGTATTACGATTTAGTGGTATTGTTCTTCATTCGTAACTGAAATGTCTTCATTCAATTCTTGCCAAATGATTTGAACTATATAATTACTAACCCATTGTGAGGGTAAGTCCGCATATCCCCGTTAATGTAAATAATATCATTTGTTAAAAAAAAAACAGAGATTGATACTCACACCAGCCAAACAGATCATAAAACAAACTAGTTAAAGGTAAATCAACAAAGTATTTAAATGATGCAAAATCAGATGAATCGAAAGCAAATCCCATAGTCATATGCCACTTGATTTCAATCCCACTTTGTCCCTTGAAACTCAAAAGTCATCACTTTAATATCTGAAACTCGATTTTGATCTCACTTTACCACCTGAAACACAAAAGTCGCCATTTTACTCCTAAAATTCGATTTGCTCCTTGAAATTAAAAAATCGCCACTTTACTTATTGAAACTCAAATGTCGCTTACATTGCCTTCTTTCTATTTTTTTAGGATAAGTTCATCCATTCAACATTTATAATTGGCACTACGCCAAATTTCCTCCTGAAATAAATGAACAGTAAAAAAAGAACAAAAAAAAAACTATCCTTCCTCTTCACCAACCATCTCCATTAAGAACACAAGAAATAACGAAATCAATGGAACGAATGATAAGGTGGTTGACGATGGAGGAGAAGGGATGAATGTTGTACAATATATGAAGGTTAAATTTATTTTTTTTTTCATTTCAATCTATGTGGCACCATTTGATTGGATATGTGAACTTTATAATTGTGCCACATCAATCATAAGTGGGCCTTAATTATGTCATTTAAGTATACTTAACAGTTATTTAACGGAATACAAATAAACAAATCAAAGTGGAGTAAATATTGAGTTTCAGAGAGTAAAGTGACGATCTTTGAGTTTCAAAATGTAAAGTAAGATCAAAATTTAGGTTCGATGAGCAAAGTAACGATTTTTGAGTTTCAAGAAGCAAAATAAGATCGAAATCGAATTCTAAGAAGTAAAATGACAACTCTTAAGTTTCAGTGAGTAAAGTGCAATTGAAATCAAGTTCCAAGACTGATTACAAAGGTAAACACTTTTAAAGTTAAACACATTTAACCAATAAACTACAAGCGATTTGCCAAAGCCATTTTTTATTTGGGAAAATGGCAGAAAAGGACCAAAACTATTAAAGAAAGAAAAAAAAAAGTCACAGAGAGAAGTCTGGAAATAGAAATCGAAAACCCTCCAACTCCGAAAGTCCAAACCCTAGTTTTAGTTAGATTTTTATATTAATCATTAAATTTTAGACACACACATACTCGTCTCTCTCACCACTCTGTTCCTCTGTCTTCCCCACCACCTTCGTATTCACCAATACTCGACTCTCTCTCTCTCCCCTCGCTCTTTCTCGAACCTTCTCGATCTGCAAAAGCCCTAATTTGACAATTTCAGCACCACTCTTCCGAACCCCCAAACCCCAGCAGATTGGGAATCCGTAATTTGCTTGAATTTTCAGGTCAATTACAATCCCCCAACATATAACCCTATTCGCGCTCTGCTGGCCGTTTTGATTCTTCGAGCTTTGTTCGTCAATCACTCAATTGGGGTTTGGAATTTTGGTACTTGGCCAGCTTTTAAAGTGTTGGGCAGCCGGGGAGGAAGGAGGAGCGAGCTGCAATTACGATTTTGCCCTCGTGATCTGGGTCGCTACTAGTTCGAGAGCAATTCGGGATCCATGTCAGAGGTCTGCTCTTTGTTTTACCCTTTTTCCCACTCTTTCTCTCGCGTACTGGTTTCAAGGCATTGGATTTCTGTGTGTTTCTATGTGTTTTGAAGTCTGTGCAATTGGTACTTTGTCCAAGTTTTCATCTTTTGTAATATCAAGATTTTGAACACTTACCCATTTGTTGTTTTTGCAAACATTTGCTTTTGGGTTATCCGAAAAGTTGCGGGATTTCGTTATGTATTGACCGGTAGTTTCAGTAACAATAGAGATTTATCCGAAAAGTTGTGATATTCGTGTGTCGTTTGGTTAAGAAAATATGGCAATCAAATCTGTCACTGTTAGTGAAATTCAAACCTTGTTGCATGCTTAGCCGCTTGCCCTAGTTCGGTTAAAACAGCAGTGGGTGTAGAGTTATTAGTGATATTCGTAGATTGGTGCTGCGTGAATCTATAGTAGGAAGGAGCCAAGCAAAATCTTTGTTGGATTAGTAAGGGAGCATTCTGAGTTCTTCTGTGGACACTGATGACCTTGTTGAGTAGTCAACGTAAGTTTTTTCGGCGGTTGTCTTTGAGTGTTTGAAAGCATCCCCGAGATTTATTTGCGGGACTGTTTTATTTGGGTTCTCTGGGAGAGAAATAAGCATTGGAAGCTTGATATTGTATACTTTGGCTTGCTTATGACGCATACAATTTAGTGTACGGTGCTTTTTTCTTCTGCCAGAGTCATCCCCTGCTGTTTTGGTATTAGATATGTGAGTGGCTTTGATAGAAGTTGAAGTGCTAGGTATGTTCTGAATGTGCACCTCTTTGTCTGCATATATTATACTCAGACGTTATTATACTTTGTTGGAGAAAAACTTTGAACATGTTCCCTTTTTATTTTGGACTTTATTACTTATTGATATTTCTATGGTCTGTCAAACTCATGTTTTATTATGTGACATCACAGTTGTTAGTGGGCCACCACTTCATGAGACATTGACCCATGGATCCTGAAGGAACAAAGTTTGGACGAGGTAGAATGTTTTTTTCTATATGGTGTTCCGTTATGGTTTTCTTCGTATTTCCTTCTTGTTTGAATTAATATTGGTAGTTAATTACATATTTAACAGAACTATTCATAGTTGAAGCACTCTTCAAAACCTCATTTATTCATGTATAGCACTTAATTTTGAACTAATCCAGAGAGCCATGTGGCCTCCAATTATGAATAAAATATATCTCCATCCTTGCCCCATCTGGTTCTTCGATAAGATATCACTACATGTTTAAAATTTAATTTCTGATGCTCAAATTTCATAACAAAACCTCTTTTAAAGTATACTTATTTCAATCTACTGAGAATTTGAGTGTTTTGCTTCTATTATGTCAGTGAATGCATGTTTTGATATTTAAGAGAATTTTATTTTATCTGATGAAATTCTGTTGGATACAGGACCAAAAGAGTTGACTGGTGCTGTAGATCTCATAAGTCACTACAAGTTACTTCCCCACCATGAGTTTTTCTGCAAGCGATCACTTCCAGTATCAATATCAGACACACACTATCTTCACAATGTGGTGGGAGACACGGAAATCAGAAAAGGAGATGGGATGCAGTTGGATCAACTTATCCAGAGTACATCATATCCCCGGGATACGAAACCACGCATACAGCCTTTTGACCTAGATACTCTCAGAGAGGCTTTCCATCTTAGAGAAACGGCTCCTATTGATCTGCCACTTGTGAGACTTTCTTACTTATAATGGATGACAGTCTGTTATATTTCTTCTTTTCCAATAGATATTTGGTCCTGCAAAACCGTTTTCCTTTCCACGTTCTCATTGTAATTGATATTTTGTTTTGTCTTCTATAGGCAGATAAGGGGACTCCAACTATTGCAGGGAAATCAAAGAGTGAGTCTAAAGACAAGGAGAAGAAACACAAAAAGCACAAGGACAAAGACAAAGACAAAGAGAAGGATAAAGAGCACAAGAAGCGTAAACACCGTCATAAAGATCGAAGTAAAGATAAAGACAAGGATAAGAAGAAGGATAAAGGTGGGCATCATGATCCGGTCGGTGATCACTCAAAGAAACATGAAAAGGTTAGAAAATGGTACACCTGTACTATTAAATTCCTTTTCTTAAGCGCCTGGTAATACACAAGAGCGACAATAAAAGAATGGTTTTGAATTTTTTTTTATCCAAATAACTCTGATAATGTCTGAAGTTATGAACTGCCATTGTTTGTCGCACAATCTAATTACAGTTTTTCCGTTCACCAACACCAGATTTAATTTTTTTCAAATGTAGTTGAATATTCAGAGGGATTCACATGCTTTAGTTTTGGTGCTTGTATGATCACAGAAAAGGAAACATGATGGAGATGACGATCTTAATGATGTCCACAGACACAAAAAGTAAGGTAATATAAACATGGAACTTTTCGTTTGGATTTACACTTTTGTATCTCCAATCCTTTCTTTAATGTTTTACTTGGGATCTGCATGATATGCCCACTATTTTTGTATAGTTCCTTTGCGTCTACATTTTGACCAAGGTCTCTGTTTCTCACTATCTTTGCAGCATAAGAGCTCAAAACTTGATGAAGTGGGTGCAATCAGGGTAGCTGGCTGAAATGAGGGGATATTTTAGTAATTTTGTTTTCTTCAAATGGTCGTTGTTCATAGTCTGGAGGGGTCTTTCACTTGATTTTGTGTTTCTTGAGGTACACATCTTTACTTTTCCTGTATATTTAGGTTAAGATACTCTGTACTTTTAGCTTCTGCCTTGCACTGCCACCATTTTATTTCTTTCCTCATCATAAACTGATGGGTCAACTTTTCATTTTTATTCATGCTTGATATGGCTTTATGTTCTCTGTAATATGTGATCCGTTGAGGTTGGGATGGAAATAAGGATTAAATACGAAGGCAAGTTAGAGAATGAGTTAAATGGCGTTGTTTAGTTTTAGGAAGTTAGATGTAGTACTAGCTGAGGTTGGTCGAACGCAATGCATGTGCACACTCTTCATCTCATCCATGTGGTAAAAACAATATTCCTTTCTAATATGTTGTTGAAAAATATGCATTTGGGGACCGTCAAGAGTTTGGATTTGATGTAGTTCTGTGGGCTTTTTAGTTTCTTATAAGTACTCTGTATGCAGATCTTGTTTAAACAATTATGCTATGCCAAAACCTCCACTCTCTTGTTTGACAAACATTCTGTTTTTAATAGGCTTATGTGTAGTATTGTATTTGTTGCCATGGAACTTGGATACATGATACTTCTGGTTTATGTGCAGAGTAACTTTTGAACTGACTAAAGATTGTGAAGAAGGTGAATTCACCTACTGAAAATGTGGATTAAAGGTAAAAAGTAGTTAAAGTGAACTTTGTATAATAACAATGATCTAATATGACTGCCTGTAATTTGCAAACAACTATGTTACTTTGTTTTCATGGCACATTGGATATGGTACTATGTCTACGGTATTACTATATTTTAGCATTTTTAGAAGTCCAAAATTTATAATTTGTGAGGGAGAGTTTGTACCTTGTAGCTTCCAGTTGTAGGGAAAAATAGGTTTAGGAAGAGATTGTATAAATGATACCTTTCGTTCCTGTTTTGTTGTATTAACAGCTAACATTACTGCTTATCCAAAAAACATGTAACATCTAGGCTTCTGTTCTCACCGAAATTCTAAATGGTAACAGTGAAATACTCTGCAAAAATAGAAAGACGTGATGGTAGGTATTCGAGACGATCATTATCTTGCTGTTGTGTTGTATTTTGCAGTGTGAATGACATCATTCTTCTACGCTGCTTGGTCATGATGGAAACTTTTCAGGCCCTTTTTTCGTTTTAGGTTAGGTATCTATGTATTTTATGGTTCGTTTGTTAGTTGTAATTTAATGAAACACAAATTATCTCCTAGTATCCCCCAACCCTCCAAGATGGCGACTTTGGAAACGTGGTCTAGCCTTGTGTGTGTGATTGATTAGAGAAACCATTCTTGTCTGTGTCCAGTTTTACTAAACCCTCATGTGAGAAGCCTCCCTCGACATGGGCAAGTGGGAAGAAGAGAGAATGGATTGCTGTTTCTGGCACCTTTTGGTGAGGAAAACAGGAGTAACCTGAAAAAAATTAGTCACTTAACTCTGATCATGATCTAGATCTATTGGATGCTTAATCCTACGTTGAGATGTTATCATTTTGTGATTGAATCAGAGGTGACAGAAGGATTGCAGCTCGTGCACTTTATGTCACAGATTTAGGAGCTCAAATGTACTGGAATTTGGAAGAGCATTTTGCTTATGAGGCATGTAGTACATTGTTATCCGGTGGTTTCAAGTCTAGGCAAAAGTTATATTTGTTCCTGATCCGAAGGGAAAACAAAATGATTAGGTTTATTGAGCTGTGGGAATTTATTTTTACTTTTTAACCTTCCGCCCCCTTCTCATTTTCAATATATGCATGTACATCCCTACTAACTGCAAAAATTATAGGGGTTTTTGAACTTTAATCCTTCAAGAAGATTAAAATTTAATAAAAACATGTGAGATTGGATATTAGTTTTAGTCCCTTAATATGGACTTAATTCAAATTTATATTATATTTTTGTTTTAATATTTAATAGATATCTTATTTAATGTTATTACATTAAATTTTAAATTTATTATTATACACATTTTAATTCGTTAATTTTATTTAACTTCCTCTAATTAGTGTACCTAAATGTCCGTATCATAATATATTTTACTAATTTAGTGTACCGAAATGTTCGTACCTAAATATATTGTAGTAAATTAGTGGCACATAAGAAAATATGCAAAAATATAAGTCTACCGAAAATTTCGTACCTAACTATATGATACTAAACTAGTATACCAAAATGTCGATACCTAAATATATTATACTAAACTAGTGTACTTAAATGTCCATACCTAAACATATTATACTAACTCAGTGTATTGAAATGTTCGTACCTAAATATATTGTAATGAATTACTGGCACATAAGAAAATATGTAAAAACATAAGTGTAGCGAAAAATCTCTACGAAAATATTTTCTTATATAAGATACTCATAATAATGAGAATTAAAATTTATAATATTTTCATAAAAATTTAATTTATGAACACCATAAAATTATAAATAAAAAAGAGAGACATTAAATACATATGTTGACATTTAATAGAATCTAGGGACTAAAATTAATTTTTAATCTTGTATAAGATATTTTTTTTAAATTTCATCTTATTTAATGATTAAAATCTAGTTTTCTAAAAATTATAATCATGAATTTGTTCAAAATTAAATGTTGATCACATTAATGATTGATATGACATAACGATCGTATATGGGGTTGAAAAAAGTTACTCTGAGAAACTTACTTGTGATATATGTTTTTTTTTTTTTTTGGACAAACACTTGTGATATATGTCTGCAATGCTTTATGCGGCATAGCTTAGAGATGGTTTTGGTGTCTGTACATGCCAAAGGACTGTTGGAAGTGAATTTGAGAAGATTATAATCAATTATGGGAAGAAGCACATGAAAACACTCATAAAATGGAGAAGCATGCATGTTTCCATAAAATAACCTAAAGTGATTTTTCAATACGAAGAAGCACCTCTTATATGCTTTTCTTCAAAAGTGATTCTGACTTTCTCATAGTCACTTTCAAATGGATTAGGATTCTTTCCCCTCTTATTACTATCCCCTTCTATCATCTGCTCTCACTTTTTTTATTTTTTGTCTTATTCTTTATATAAAAAATTTAAAACAAGATGTAAATGTGGCGTAATCGTAACCGCTTAAATAGGAGGGGATAGAAGGTGAGAGATTAGGAGGGAAGAGAGTCATACTCCCTTTCAAACAAGCCCTAGGTCAACGGACAATCAAAATATAAATGTAGCTTCTCCTCCCAAGGCAAAAGAAAAAAAAATATAGGGAGGCAGATTCTCTGCCCTCCCACTTCCCGTGCCCTCCTATTTTGTGTGGTCACGGTTAAGCCACGTCAACATTTTATATTATTTTTTTATAGAGATAATAAGACAAAAAGGAATTGTAATATAAAATGTTGACGGGACTTAATCGTGACCACACAAACAGGAGGGCACGGGAAGTGGGAGGGCAGAGAATATGCCTAAAAAAAAAACTTCACAAGAGAAGGTACGAAATGTCTGCATTCGGTCCAAACTGACCAATCAAATTCAGTTCGATTTCAATTTCAATGATTTGGCATTACGCTTTGGAACGTACAACTAGGGGTGAGTTCGGTTCAAATCGGTTTGGTTTTTTTCGGTTCAGTTTTTTCCGGTTCGGTTTCAGTTAAGTTTCGGTTTTTTGTTTTTTTTTTTCAAAAAATGAAAAACATTGAAATTTTAAATTTTAACATCTCCAACACAATCATAACATAAGCATTCTAACTAGAATAAAAGACAATGAAAATAAACATTTAAAGTTGAACTAAAATCATCAATCACGTCTTCCAAAGTCCAAACTAACAACCTCACAACACAAAAATCGTATAAATGACTTAGAAAAGTTAAATTGTATGATGTTGTTCAAAGATCAGGGTTGTTTGCTTGTAACTGCATGTTGACAACTTGATTAGTAAAAGTACTGTGTGGGTGGATTTATTTAGTGTGTGTTGGATTCTTTTCCATCACAAATTACGCAAGTAATCTACCCGAAATAAATGTTTATGGATTCTGTTACATGTTATATGAGAGTAGATTTGGAAAGAAAGCTAGGGCAGAAGTAAACAGTGCTATGGAGATGGATGTAGGTACTTCAGGAGGAGGTTTGGTTCCGGAACCTTATATGGGGGAGAAATAATAGGTTAGGGTTTTGAGTTTTTATAGGCATTTTTTTAATATTTTGAGCTTAAAGTTTGGCAACACATTGAGTTTAGCACATTTTAACTTACAAATTGGGTTTAGAAAATAATACCCAAAACAAATAATTAAATAAAAAAATTAATTTAATTAATTCGGTTCGGTTTCTAGATCACTAAAATCGAAAACGAACCAAAAGAATTCGGTTCGGTTCGGTTTTTTCAATTCGGTTTGGTTTTTTCGGTTTCGATTTCGGTTCGGTTTTCAGTTTTTTTTCAGTTTTTGAACCCACCTCTACGTACAACTGAGGTGCGTTTATGGTTATCTCATAGCCAGCCTGGGAGTTTTGCCTCTCACATCATTTTCTCCTGAAAATGAAAAATAGAAAAGAAAGATTCAACGATAAGCATCCTCAGTGATATTTGTGTACAATTTTATCATAAAAGGTTCTTGACGATATTAATTAGAGCAACTCTAGTGTAGGAGCCCTCCCCCAGGCTATTCACTATTTAATTCACCCAGTGAACAGTAACTGCCCTTAATGAACAGTAATTGCCGTGTCAATTGCCTTTTGCATCTCCACCCCTACACTGAATAGCCCTGGCAATTGGTAATAAAATATTAATATTATTTTATTTATAATTAACATTATATTATTTACTCTGTATAAATTAATATTATATTATTAATTATATTAATATTATATATTCCTCCATCTTCCTTTTCTCTACAGATTTCCTTCTTCTTCTCTGCAGATTTGGTTATGCTTCTTCTTCAATTATTCATCTTCTTCTTCACTTCCTTCTTTCTTCTTTGTTTGTTTATCGGAAAACTTCTTCTTCAATTATGCATCTTCTACATCTTCTTTGACAATCATCTCCGAGGAAGTCACGACGCCGGCTTCGGGAAAGCACGATGCCGACTTCAGGAAAGCCCACGATGTCGACTTGGCCTTTAAAGACGACGAAGCTTCCAAGGATGACGGAGGTCAAGTAGCTGCAAGGTTGAGGCCCATAAATGCAAAGGAGATGATGGCTGACGTCGCCCAGACGTCAGCCTTGCGTCAGGATGCCTTCGGGCTCTCGGGTTGGCAATCGGTGTTGGGCCTGTCGCTCGGGCATGGCCTGTCCCTCGGGCTCGCATACGCTGGACCTCATCCCCCGGCCTATTCGGTCCTGTTCCGCAGCCTGTCCCTCGAGTAGAAGCTCCCGCTGGAGCTGCTCTTAGGGAACCTCCCTCGTATAAAATAGCATGATATTTTGTTATTCGTGCATGTGGGACTTTATTCTCCGGGAAATTTGGAAAAAAAAAAGCCAAAATTTAGACTAGCAATAGAATTCTAGCCAATTATTATAATATTTCATAATTCTAGCAAAAAAATTGAATATTACAATACATTTCTTAACTGAAATAATTACAAAACTATATTTTCTTCATCTTTGTCAATCGTCTGTAATTACAGACTCGAAACTGTGGAGCCAATCTGCAATTATCATGGAGGAGAAATACGACGACGGAGTGGAGGACAAACGGAATGAAATTCCAAAAGGGAAAGGGAATAAAGTTTTGGGATGAGGTAAGGGAATGAATGGAATGGAAAAGTCAAAGGAGGCCGAAGACCATTGTGATGGATAACCCCGGATGACGAAGATGTGACTCGGCTGGAACAGACAGTTGATGAAGATGAAGAAACTGCTGGTTACTTGACAAAGATGAAGACATAGGTTTGTGATATTTTAGTTAAGTAAGGGTGCAATTTGTTGCATCGAATTATGCCAGACTCGACTAGCTTCAAGAATTAAATTAAAATAATTTAGATTAGACTAAACTGAATTGACTTAATAAAACTAACCAGCAAAATAGTATATTTTTTTTCTTTTTTCTTTTTCCTATTCCTTTTGTTTTTTTTTCCAGAACACTCTTTCATTTTTCCAGACTCTCTCGAGAACCAAAGCTCTCCCTCTCTCTTTATCCCTTTCCTTTTTCCAGAAAACTCTCTTGATCAAACGAAAGCTCTCCCTCTTTTTCTCCTTTTTTATTCTTTAAAAGTTGTTTTGCACAAATTGTAGTTGGCGATTGTAAAGATGTGCAGATGGTGCAAAGCATCGAACGAATTTGGTTTTGCACTACTACCCAGCTTCCGTTGACCAATTCCGATTCTCCGTTTTCAATCAGATTGCAAAATTGTTTCCAAAAAGTTCAGCTAAGATCTTGAGTTTTGTCATTGAAAACACATAATCCAACCCAGAATTTGATTTATTGAAAAACCCAAATGATTGTTCCAATGTATCATTTCTGAATTCAATGGAATTCACAGTGAAAGGTCAGTTCACCAATCCGATGGACACTAAATAAACAATAAGCTGCGTATAAATTGATGGTTTACCTTCAAACACCTATATGTTTTTGTTGTTACTTTTCTTTGTAATGTAAGCTTTAATTTGATGAGTTGTGTGAGTGACAGTATGAATTCTTTTTTGTTCTTGACGGATTCGGGTTTATTGAAGTTTTCGATATATTGGCAGGTGGACATGCTGTGAGAGAGAAATAAGCTCTATGCTCCTTTCAAGTTTGTTGACTTGAGTTCAGAATTCAGATGACTGCTCCCGAGAGGAGAATCAGGGGCTGGACTACTAGACTGTAAGTTTGTGTTACTGAAATTTGATCGTTACAACGTAGTCGTTTGCAAAAATTTCCTGTTTTTCATATCTGATATGACCTCATAGAATGCGATTTCCTGAAATTTATATGAAAAATAGATAGATGCTAGAAGCCTAGAACATCTTTTCGGCAATATAATACGATTTAGTGACTAATTCGTATGCTCTGTTTAGGTTATGGGAAACATTCATGCCATCCTCCCTGATGGAACTGTAGTCACTGATGTAAATTTTTGTTGAAGCAGACGAAGAACAAAAATTAGTTGATTTGGACTTAGTTGATGTTAATTTTTGTTCCATTCTAACTTAGTTGGTTTGGTTTGTGCAGTTTTTTTTCATCTGGAAGCCACTGGTTGTACCACTAAAGTACAGGCATTGAAAATTCAAGGTATGCATTCACTTTTTAATCTGTTATAAAAAGTGATCATTTCAATTAAAAGTGAAACCTTTTTTTAACAATGAACCAATGAATCCACAAAGAGACTTAATGCGAAAAAGTCTATTGTTTTTTTGTTTTTGATCACTAGGTCTCTCTCTTTCTCTCTCTCTGTTGGAATTATGTTTGTTCGTTTTCAAAAACTGCAAAAAATGAAAACCCAAGATTTTCGGATTTATAGTTAATATCAATTTTGTTTGTCTCAAATTTTAATTTTGATCACTGAAACGAAAAGGGGCATTGATTTATTTTGTTTTAAGATCTTAAATTGTAGCTTGGATTGTGGTGAAGGTTAATAGGTCAACGAAACTTTGATTTAAGATCCGGAACCAACTCGCCTAATGTAAAAGCTATCTATTATCAGATGCAAAGGGAGCAATTAGGGACAAATTATGAATGTTTATCAATATTTGAAAGTTTTGAGCACCAATTAGTGTAGAAGAAAGATTTACCGCTGATTAATATAAATAGTACAATTATGCCATCTTTATATGTATCTAAAACTTGCTAATAACTCCACCTTTACTTGCTGGCGTTGTAGAGGAGGCCGAGAACAAAGATTTTGCATACAGTTTTGAAGATTGATTGATTTTTCGTTTTTGGATTTTTGAACAGGTGCTGTTCTGTTTTTTTCATTCGTTATCATCGCTTCTACAGAAGAGGTCAGTTTTCCTTTTTTTCAGCAAGAAATCATAAATTAAAACCAATGTTTTAAAAGGCGAAGGCGTGGCTGTGTGGGTGAGGCGTTTCATGGATAGCCCTACGTAGACGAAAGCCTTGAGGTGTGAGGCGAAGCCCCACGAGACCTAAACTTATATATATATTTAAAAAAAATATAACTCTCTGTAAAACAAATATTAATTGTCATTTAAAAGTGTACAAGTCACAAACAAGTTTAACTATCAAACCAAGTTTAACCAAGCAATCAAATTAATCAACAATTAAACAAATAGAGTCAGATAGACTAATAGAGGACTTAATCAAAACTTGTTAAGGGATATAAGAAATTGCAAGTCAAATAAACTAATAGAGGACTTAATCAAAACATAAATGTAACTTCTAGATCTAAAAAATAAAGTAGAAACAAAATCAGACGTGTATATCTTAAGGGCAGTGCCATCCACACACCCATTTTTACTTCTCACAAACCCCTTCAATTTCCGGCCATCGGATCAAATGAATTGAAGAATATCAATGGCCAAAATTAACAGGGGTGTGTGGGAGGTAAAAATGAGTGTGTGAATAACACTATCTTAAATCTTGGGTGTGATGTGAACATACGTAGAGAGAGGACTTTTATCATATGATGTAGTCCATAACTAATTAATTATTTGGATGAGAAAATTAAGTACACGTTAACCAATTTAATATGGAATTAGTGTTTAGGACTAACATACGTCTAACAACAACTACCCATATACGTGTTTGTTTAGTACCACAACCGACTCTTATTCTTCATTAGTTAATGTGGTCATTATCAGGTTTTGTTATCACATATCCACACCAATTACGTTTTCATTTCTAATATAAAATATAATTGTAGGCCATAATTTTCAGGAATTTTGTGGGTACATTCCTGCCTTTCTACCACAGCTCAAGAACCAAAGCAAGAAGTGGTGTGATATCTTTCCCAGGGCAGGAATAATTTGTTCTTATGGCTCAACAAGCTTCCTCATCTCATAGCACTTCTAGTTCTTCTTGGTGCAGTTATGATGTGTTCTTGAGTTTCAGAGGCGAGGACACTCGCAAGACTTTTACTGACCACCTCTATACAGCCTTTGTTAACGCAAACTTTCGAACGTTCCGAGATAATGATGAACTTGAGAGAGGGGAAGATATTAAACCAGGATTCAAGAGAGCCATCCAACAGTCACGGAGTTCTGTCGTTGTTTTTTCTAAAGACTATGCGTCTTCCAAATGGTGCCTTAACGAGCTTGTGATGATCCTCAAACTCAAGAAGACCTCCGACCATGTAGTTTTACCAGTCTTCTACGATGTTGATCCGTCTCATTTGAGGAAGCAAACAGGAAGCCTTGCAGAAGCATTTGCTAAACATCAAAAGGTTCAATCGTTTGACACGGTGAAGGAATGGAGGGAAGCACTTGCTGAAGCTGCAGATCTGGCAGGAATGGTCTTACAGAATGAAGAAGATGGGTATGTATTTATAACTAGCTAATTCTGTGCCATTTTTATTAAGTTTGACTACTAGGTAATTTTGGAACTTTGACATATAAGCACATAAGTTAAGGTTCAAACTAATTCTTTCTGTTACTTCTAAGGATGTGGAATTAATTGAGAATATTTCGGTGGATTTCAGAGCTTTCTTTTGTTGAGAATGAATCCCACATTGAGAATATATCAAAAGTTGGGCTACTCACCATATTGCCGATTGGTTTTATGGTGGAACCTCAATTTTCTTCATGGTATCAGAGCAAGTTGTGAAGCCCAACGGCCACACGTGCTTCGCGTCACCCTGTTTGTGTTGTCCACATGTTTGGCTAAAAAGTTCACCACACGTAAGGGGGCTTGTGGAACCCCAACTTTCTTTAGTTTTTAGGGGGGGAGGGACTGTAAGTTTATGAAAAAGAATCTGATAGAGATATTGATGGCATTTAACAATTTCAGCATACAATCATCCCATTTATTAACATCAGTTTAATGATTCAAAGTGCTGACAAATTTGATTTAGTTCCAATATTTTATGCCACTGCAAATTTTTAGGCACGAGGCAAAGTTTATCCAGAAAATTGTTAAAGTGATTGAAGACAAACTAAGGCGGACGCACGTAAGTTTTGATCCGTACCTGATTGGAATCCATTCTCGAGTACAAAGCATCAACTCATGGTTACAAGATCGATCAAAAGAGGTTGGCATACTTGTCATTTATGGAATGCATGGAATGGGAAAGACAACCATGGCAAAATTTGTTTACAAATCAAATTTTGAAATATTTGAAAGACACAGTTTCCTTGAAAATATCAGAGAAACTGCAGAAAAACCAAACGGCTCGATTCAAATACAAAAGCAACTTCTTCATGATATTACGAATGGGAGAAAAATAAAAATATACAGCACAAGCCAGGGAATGTCTGCAATTGAAGATGTCATTAGCTCTAAAAGAGTTCTTCTCGTTCTAGATGATGTTGACGATATGGATCAACTATTAGGTGAGGTAATTGGGATGCAAGATCGGTTATATCCAGGAAGTAAGATCATTGTAACAACTACCTATGCTGGGTTGTTAAATGCTCACCAACAAGTCTTGTCTCACAATGCTGAAACTTTGAATGACGATGAATCATTGGAGCTCTTCAGTTTACATGCTTTTGGACAGGACATACCCACTGAAAGATACATGGATCATTCAAGAAGGGTGGTACAACATTGTGGAGGACTTCCACTGGCTCTTAAAGTTTTGGGTTCTTCTCTATCAGGAAAGAGGGTAGCTATATGGGAAAGTACACTGAACAAACTGGAAACTATTCCAAATGGTCAAATCTCGCAAAAACTCAAACTAAGCTACGACTCCTTACAAGACACCCATGATCAAGATTTGTTCCTCCATATTGCATGCTTCTTTATTGGAATGGACAGAGATGACATCGTCAGAATTCTAGATGAGTGTGATTTCTTCACAGATGTTGGCATCCAAAATCTAATGGATAGATATTTAGTCACTCTTAATGGATATAATCAGGTGCAGATGCATCACATGATCCGCGACATGGGAAGAGGAATTGTACGCCTTGAATCAAAGGAACCTGGGGAACGTAGTAGATTATGGCATCATAAGGATTCTTTCAATGTATTGACAGAAAAGAATGTAAGATCATGCTTATATATGCTCTTTCACATTTAACTTTTTTTGTGCTTTTTCCTAACTTAATGAAATGTGTTTCTTCTTAGGGTACGAAAAAAATTGAAGGTCTAATTCTCAACATGCAAATGCACCCAGCATACGCTCGTTTGAGAAACTCAAATGATCAGACAGTTTTGGAGACCAATGGGTTTGCACAGATGCACAAATTAAAACTCCTCCAGCTTAGTTACGTACAACTCAATGGATGCTACAAAGAATTTTCCACAGGATTAAGATGGTTATGTTGGTTTAAATTTCCCTTTGATTCTTTGCCCAGTAATTTTCCATTGGAGAGCCTTGTTGCTCTTGAAATGTGCTGTAGCAGCTTGAGACAAGTTTGGAAGGGAACTGAGGTATACTGCACTAAACACTATCTTTTAATTTCCCCTTTCTTTCTCACTTTTTCACTAATTGATTCTCCATTTGTTTAAGAACTATCGTCTTTCAATTTTCTGAACAGCTTCTCCCATCACTAAAGATCCTAAATCTTAGCCATTCCCGTGACCTTACAAAAACGCCCGACTTTTCGTTCGTCCCCAAGCTAGAACGGCTCATTCTCAAAAATTGTGAAAGTTTGATTCATGTTGACGAATCCATTGGAAACCTAGAGGGACTTGTTCATTTAAATATGGAAGATTGCAAAAGTATTACGAAGCTCCCGCGTAATATTTCTATGCTAACCTCCCTTGAAACACTTATTATATCTGGTTGCTCAAATCTCAGCATGTTTTCCCTGGACATGAGGGAGATGGAATCTCTGAAAGTGTTTGAAGCTGATGGTGTTCCGGTACATCGATTACTCACTGCCGCCGAGGAGGTCACATTATGTCCAAGACCAAATGTAGAAATTTCTCGGGCTTCTTATCTTCCACGCAATTTAGTAGACTTAAGACTTAGTAACTGCAATCTTTCAAATGATGATTTTCCAAGAGAGCTTGGTAGTCTATCTTCGTTGAAAATTTTAGATCTGGGTAGTAATCCAATTTGTAGCCTACCGGATTGTGTCAGAGGTATTACAGGGCTTGATAGTCTCTCTTTTTATAATTGTACGAGGCTCAAAAGTCTTGTAAGGCTACCAACTGTAGGAAATTTGTCAATCCTTGGTTGCAAAGCATTGGGAAAGGTGACATTTCAATCATTCAGTCAGGTGAACTCCAGAATGAGGTCTGTCAGATACACGGGAATCCGCAATGTAGATGAGGTATTGGAGTATGAGTACCGGTACAAGATAGAGCCGATTGAAATTGTTGATATGGAAATGATCAACCTGTTGGGTTTGGGAAACTTAAAATATTTCACAGAATCCTTTGTAATGTCCCAGTATTTACGCCTGGCCTTTGGTTGGAAGGCGGTTCGTCGTCCCATCCAGGTTTCTCTCTCTAGATCTTTCAATCTGATCTTGCATATATCATATATATGCTAGAGTACTCTACCTAATGGTTTGATTTCCATGGCATATACAGGGACTGCAAGAATGTGGCATATTCAGCACGTTTCTTCCGGGTAATGAGGTTCCTCAATATGGCTTGTTCAGCCATAAAAGTAATGGGTCCTTAATCTTTTACTGTGCCTGTACTTCCCAATCGCAGGTTCCGAGGCTTGAACATCTTCTCTGTCTATGCAAAATCCATCAGCAATGATTCTCCTAACATTAGTGCCAGTTTAGAGAGTTTACATTGTGCAATATTTACTAAAGTTAGTAATAAGAGTAAGGGTTTGGAGTGGATCTATGGGCCCTCACTATTTGGTGATCCCGGTGAGGGACAAGACGTGATATGGTTAAGCCATTGGAAGTTTCGAAACGATTTGGAAGGTGGCGATGAGGTGACTGTTTCAGTTATGACAATATCTGAGTTTCAGGTAAAGGAGTTTGGCATCCAGATTGTGTACCACGAGCAAGAAGACACGATGTTGAGCACCCAGGACAACACCACAGATGACTTTTTCTATCCAGTTGTCATTGGTGGAGATTTGTCACGTTTTCTGCGGTCAGGATCAGGAACATACCTTCTTCGCCATGGGCTAAATTGGCTAACAGAGGAAGAAAAGGATTGTGTGTTCAGTTCAGTTTTGTTCCAGGACGACATTGGAGACCATAATAAACTAACAGGTGCGTGCTTGGTTCTTATCAATGTCAAAAATATTCAATTTCACTCCAACTATTTTTGGAAGGTGGTGATGTATTAACCTGTAGTATATTCACAGGTTTATTTTGCGAAATTGTTGTTAACACTTCAAAAATCTCATTATACACTTCTCACAAGTGTATTTTTCTTTGTAACTATAGAAAGTTTAGTGCAAAATGAGATTTTTGAAATGCAAATAACAATTCCCTTATTTTATTGGCTATTGCAGTTAGGGTAGTCGATATGTGGGAATTAATTATACGTGTATGTTTCTTAGACCGTAGCAATTCCCTTATTTTATTGGTTATTGCTGTGGTGGTGCAGGCAGATGTTGGAAGGTGGTAATGATCGTAGCCGCTATCTTCTTTCTCTCTCTTCTTCTGGTCTCTTGCACCTCTATTTCAGTGAAAGATGAAAGATCAGTTAATCCAGTTATTCAGACAATAGAGAGAAGATATATCAACTGCAGAAATTGATCAAATATCATGAGATATTGTCCTCATTTTTCTTGTAATCTTGTCCTCAGACCTGTTAAAGACCCGTCCCTAATTTTCTTGTATAATTTTGTCCTCGTTGATGTAAATTTATCAAATTGCCCCTAGAACATACGTACGAGTTGACTTTTGTAGACTTTTTGTTTCTAATATGTGACGTATTAATTAGTATATTTAAGTAGCACTTGTCGCTGTTACTTATTACTACGATCTGGTGGTATTCTTCTTCGCTTAGAAGTGAATGGTCTTAGGTTTGAATCTCATTGATGACGAATTCAATACCAAATTATATTGTCCATTGTGTGGTTTAGTCAAATTTCCTTTTTCCCTGGTGTAACACGTGGGTGGTAAGCTGAAAGAGAATTGGGTCCTTAATGCAAGAGCTCTCTCTCTCAATCTCACTCTCTCCCAACTCTCTCGAGCTCTCTCTCTCTCTCCCTCTCGTCCAGCCACACAAACCCACACCACGAAGTTCTTCGATGAATCGCGATTCCGAAATCACCACCGCCACTTTCCTCTCATCACAACGAACCCGATGTTGGGTTTCGATTCGTGAAAGCCGAACCCCGGACACGACTTGGACGAGCTCCGATGTAGGCTCGACTTCTCGACGAGTTTCTCATTGTTCGAGGCGTAGGTAAGTTTTAGACTCCTACCAATATCTTCATCTTGTTGATATACTGTTGCTCATAAAGATTCTTAAATGAACTTTATGATGAGAAAGGGCTAAAGATTGTGTACAAAGATTCTTAATTAACCTTCTTTTCTGGTACGCTTTTAGATCCTAGCCCAAACAAATTTTAAAGTGTCAATAACAATTCTTTAATTTTAATTTGGACAATTTACTTTTATTACTTGTTTTGTATATATAATGGTAGAACACTAAACATTTACTTTTTGGAGTAGAGCGATATCGTTAATGCATGGATTAATTAGTTAGTTGTTAGGATGTATATGTAAGAACTTGTAAACAAACAAACACCAAGACCAAAACATGAACCACAAACAAAAGGAAACCAACCCAGTTATGTGCACATAAATAACCAGAAAGGAAAACATACCTGCAGCTGCACCAGAACTCGTAGCCATTGCAGCAAACTTTCAGTGATCCTTCTCTTCTTGCAGATTGTCAAGAGCTCAACTCACAGATAGGTTATGGTCCAATATGAGCGTTAGTTCTGTGAGAATAGAGGTCACTATATATATACATATAGACTTCACCAAAATAGATCAGGATTTCCTATCAAAATCCTCTTCGGAAACAAACACTTGTTTCTTGATGCTAACCAAAATCATTTTCAGTCAAGGATCATCATTCCTTTCATCAATAGGACTTTCTATCCAAATTGAATACTTATAACCGGTCCTAAAACTTCTCTATCTCATACTCATATTCTTACATTCTCCCACTTGAGTATGAGAACAGTTTCAAGTACACAGTTTATCCAATCATACTTAGATAGAAGTGATCACTAACAGATAATCATCTCAAATTATTATAAAGGTGATCACATAATTAAGTCATTCACCAACACACAAGTACATAGACACAACCAGCTTACATAAACCAAAACAATGAATTTATAATTGCCTCTGCAACACAAAATACAGATTTAACTTACAAATCACAATGTCCAGTTCATGTTCATAGCAATGTATCTAAGCTCAAAAGTAAACCAAGACATCTACTCCCACTCATATAGCCACCAAATCTTTTGGATAACAAAAGCTTAACCTCACATACAACTTACCCATGCATTTTAAAGTATTGAACTTAAGAATTTTTTCTGTTACATCGCAGAATTAACTCAAAAGTCACAACATACTTAATTTTGCACTTTTGTAATTATGTGAACCAAATATAGCAAAAACCAAACCAATTTGCTCCCACTTATCTAGGCTATACTTAACACAAACAAGTTAAGTATAAGTTAATATCAACTGTATTAACTAACAGTCATTGCAATACATTGAATGTCTTATCAATGTGATCAATTGCCGCAACCAATATGCAAACAAATTCCATTAGCACATTCATCCAATTTGTATTTACAACAATGTGATTTTACTTGACCAAAACAAACACATAAATTGATTTGCTCCCACTATATCAAGTTAAGTTTAGTTCCAGCAAATAGCACTAAACTTCTCATTACTTAAACAAATTAAGTAACATAAATAATTACCAATTGCTTCAATAAAACCATAATCTGGTTTTCAAGCATCCAAATGAATTATAATGGCCGGCCTAAATAACCTTATGCTTACATTCGAACATATGATTCTCCCACTTAAGCATAAGCAGAATGTACTGCACAACCAATAAAGAAACCGGAGATATGAACCAATTGATTCCCGATTCCTTACCAATTGCATAATCTCAGTTTAGTCAAATACACCTAAACCATTATGCAAACAGTCTATGTATCAAAAGATAGTCACAATCCATTCCGAAAAACTTATCTCACATAAACCCAAAATCACCAGTTTCAACAATAATCAAAATTAGAATAGCAAGCACAATATTCTTGCATTCAATTTGATCCTAACTAGTTCAATACCCATCGAGCAAGATCAACTAAAATTTGATAATGTCTGGATATAAAGGCACAAGTCATCTTGATTAAAACAAGATAATCAAGATGATCATCCAATAAAATTTAGTGTACTTATAGATTTAATACATAATATCAAATCTCTTACACTTACAATATATCAAGTGAGATGAGTTTCAGAATACATTCTTGCCAACAAGTTTTCACTAAACAATTTATATCATTTCATATAGGTACTAACACAAGAGCATTCACATGTTTTTGGTTATACAGTGCACATATTGGCATTAACGAACCCAAAAATTCCGAACTACATCATTCACATATATGCAACACCCCCAAAACCTATTATATATAGTCTAACCAAAATTGGGATATGAATTACACTCATAATTTTAAAAACGTCATTATGGATACTCGTATAATCCAATTTTGCTTTTCTAAAATAATTCAAACCAATCAAACCCACATAAAAGCCATAGGTCTTTGGTAGCAACAATAAGTCAAATTCTATTATCATAATTCATAATGGAAAATCATGATGCAAGCTTCCAAGTTTCAAGCAAGTTAATGAGAAATCTTACATCTGCTTGAGACAACAAAATAGCAACAAAACAATATTTTCCACCCAATCTAATTACACATGCTCTAACTCAAAAATAGAAGATGTACACCAAATATTAGTCTAATGAATCTTTATGCAGAAAGAATGATTCTAGTCATCTCACATAAATCATAAGTTGGCATCTATAGAGATTTCGAGTTTAATTGTGCCTTCACAAAATAAACAAGCATACTCGGAATAGCAAAAGCTCTAATTCATTATGCTCCAACTCATCGCACTATAATCACACATATAGGAGAACAATTAATTATACATGAAACAGTGAACTGAGTTACCTGAATGCATCATTGGACTCGTATTTGACAACCCAATTGCAATTCCTTGGCTCCAAATCAACGAAACAAATTATCCATCAATGCTCGAGACCCATCCATACAGATTGCCATGGTTACAGACGTGCCGAACCAAAATCATCGCCAAAGTGACGACCAGAATCCCGTCGACCCAAATTCCCACAAAAAAAAAAGACAAACCATGAACGTTAATATCTCTTAGACAAACAAAAACTTATTAATGTCGTCATAATCAAGATTTCATCTTTCTTTTATCTTACTAATATTTGGTCAGGCATATTTTATGCACATCTTTATTCATATAAAGGATTAAGAAACCACAACTACCTCAATCTTAAGACATCATAGTGAACACAGCGGAAGCAATAATTCTCAAAATTAGAACTATGATGTTTAAGATAAATGTGTTTTGCTAAATCACTTTATTGATCTCCAAAGAAGCAAGCAAGAATAAGTTCACCCTTTCCCACGTGCAGCATAATATAAATTGTTATCATACTAGATTTATACCAGATTCACATAATCTGTATGCACTAAAACATACACAGGTATTGAAAGAATTAAAAGCAATCATACCTTTTAATCACTGCAGACTTATAGACAACATATGCAACAACATGCATCAACGGACGTCTCATGCATAATGATCATTTTTCATGGTTGTTTAAGAAACACAAAACCATCAGTAGAAAATGCAAATCAAAATTTTTCCGCAGATATGGAAAAATTCAGCATTGATTATCAATTCTAATCAGAAATATCAACACATACCTCCTGCAGATTTCAATTTGGAATAGCGCAACAGAAATAATTATCCAAATTGAAAAAAAATTAATTTAAGAGTTGAGAGAATCACAAAACCCAGAACATGTTTTGATCGATGAAGTTGCTAATCAAAACCCCAAATTGAGAAAACAACCTCAACCAATAGATTTGCAGAAGAAAAAAAACCAATGGTAATAGTTTAAATATATTTTGTCATTATCTGGAGATCACATACCACCGATGCATCTAAGATGAAAACATTGAGGTTTGCACCATCAATTAGCCCGATATCAATCCCCAAAAATCCTGACGGTCAATTTTATTTTATTAATTCTCTGCTTATTGAAAACGCAATGTCGTTTTCGTGAAACTCTTTTCCAGCGAATTCGTTTAAACCAGTTTCGAAACCTGGAAGTCGCAAAATTTATTTATCTATTTATAAACACATTCGACTTTTCTCCTTTACAGATTTGAACTCATGTTTGTGTCTTGTGGCTCTGATACCACATGTTTGAACTTGTAAACAAACAAACACCAAGACCAAAACATGAACCACAAACAAAAGGAAACCAACCCAGTTATGTGCACATAAATAACCAGAAAGGAAAACATACCTGCAGCTGCACCAGAACTCGTAGCCATTGCAGCAAACTTTCAGTGATCCTTCTATTCTCTTGCAGATTGTCAAGAGCTCAACTCACAGATAGCTTATGGTCCAATATGAGCGTTAGTTCTGTGAGAAGAGAGGTCACTATATATATACATATAGACTTCACCAAAATAGATCAGGATTTCCTATCAAAATCCTCTTCGGAAACAAACACTTGTTTCCTGATGCTAACCAAAATCCTTTTCAGTCAAGGATCATCATTCCTTTCATCAATAGGACTTTCTATCCAAATTGAATACCTATACCGGTCCTAAAACTTCTCTATCTCATACTCATATATTCTTACAGTATAT